GCTCTGGGTACGATGTGACGAAAAGCAGTCAACGCTGTCCACAAACTGTCACAACACCCAGAGGAATACACATGTAACCCTTCCAACGTACTGTCGCACAATGCCAACAATGTGTGTGTGTCACTGCGAGTGTGTGGATCTCATCTCGACACTCCCTCCTCTGCACCCCCGGGGGCCCCTTCCTCACTGAACACCCAGCAGCAGCTCAGGCAGCAGGACTCCTGTGGAACGAGTCCCCGGAGATCAGCGGCTATACGCCAATTAGCCGTCTGGATGTGGATCCAGTCACAGAGGCATGGGGCGGAGGAGGTGCTGCTGGGTGTGTGCATGAACCTAGGTTAAAAATCAGACTGAGGGTGAGAGGGGATGGATAACACTGGTGCCATGACCCCATCACCAGGCTTTGTAATGCTGCTCACTACTTACCCACAATGAAACCACTGCTCACCAAGTGTTTACACCTTCATAACTTCACTAGAACTCAGTCTTCATACTTCTGTGTCATCCTTGATTGTTGCGTTTTGTTCTCAGACCACGTATTAGTACTAAAAGTCTTCACATGGTTCAGATGCTGCAGCTAGAATTTTTTCTAAATCTAGACAAGTCGACCACATTACACCAGTTTTAGCGTCCTTCCAGGTCAGATCAGACTTTAAGGTGCTTCTATGAAATCCTACTGTAAATGGGCGTTCCCCTTCACACATGATTCCATCCAGTGCTCTCCGCTCACAGGATACCAGGCTCCAGTCTGTCCCCAGAGGTAAACAGAAGTGTGCAGGCTGCAGGGCCTTTTCCTATCATGTCTGCCTGCTGACATCAGACTCAGTGGAGGCATTTAAATCCAAACTCTCATCTGTACGCCATAACTTTCAATCAGTGGCACAGTGTTGATTACTTGTTGTCATGTAATTGCTACTATTCTCCCACTGGCGAGTTTCAGTCTCAGTGCACCTATTAAACCCAGTTATGTGCAGTATAGTTCATATTGTACTGCTGACACGATCACTGAAAACCATCTGAAATCATCTCTCGAACCCTGTTTGTTTGTCCCCTTGGGCACTTGATCGTCCAGGCTGTGTGCCTCTCTCTCTTCTCGTCCCTGTCAATCAAGTCCACTGTGCTGGACCACAGCCAGGCATCAGTGCAGATATCTGCATCGTTCTTTGGTATTTATTTATATGCCTGTGTTGGTTTTAAGTGCTTTTTTTTGCCTATTTGAGGCCAAACTCACAGTTAACATCCTGACAGTAGTGTTGATGACACAGAATGCTGCTGCAGCAGAGACAGGAATTGCCTGTGGGTGTGTGTACACCCTCGTGTTGCTTTGTCTCACCAGACATGGGTCCAGTAAGAGGCTGCTGCCTACAGCTGGTGTGCTGATGCTGCTGTAACCCCGGTCAGGCCATTATCCTGCAGAACGGAGTAGGTGGATCCACTTCTACATTAGCTATGACACCAATATCCACCAACAGCAGCATTAATGGCCCTTATTGCAACAGAGGTACTACTACTAACATTGGAAGCATCCGCTCCACTAACTGCAGTACTGTCACTCCAGATCTTTGCTAAATGTTGCATTTACCTACAACAGACAAACAGTTACTATGCAGTATTTGAATTTGTTTACATTTTTCCAGTTTGACATGAACTAATTGATGAATTGTACTTGCTGTGTTCATAGGAGAAAGAGGTTTAATGAAGCTCATTCTA